ATCTAATCCTTCTCCAACAGTTCCACCAACTGGGGACCAAGCATCAAACATCTGCAGCTATGAGGGTCATTCTCAGTCCAACCACCACAGCCTCCAAATCACAACAGAGCATGGCATGGACCTGGAATGGCAAAGCTGTCCCTCAGCTCTGGTTTGGGGTCTGGCTAGTGGCACCTCTCTGAATCCAGGGTTCACTTTACTTCATCTACCAGATATCCTCTTTGGGGTCACTTCGATGCTATGAAGTCCCAAGTCAAGGAGGGTCAAGAAGAGCCGGGATGGCTCACCTTATCTAAGATCTGCCTTTGGATCCACAATTTCGTGGGCTCTGTACTTCTTCGAATGATTAAAACTGGAGGCCATTCATTAATTCACTCATTCAACAAATATTCATCAGTTCCATGCTATACAAGAGGAACAGAAGGAAAACTAAGAGACTTAATCCCCTTCCCTCAAAGTCCATACCTGTCTATAAACCAACTTCAGGCCTTCATTTTCAACAAAGTTTTCTAACCAGGCATACAGTATAGGAGGAAGAGCAATTTCTCAATGACTTGACCCCAAAGAATCCAAGTCTGGGGTCCCTAACAGAAGGGATTTACCCCAGACCTAAGTTCCGTTCTCCAGAGGGAGGCATGATGGGGATGACAGGTTGGAAATTGTTTTTAAATAACTCTCCAGAGATGACCTGTGTGTGCTCCGAGGCTGGAAAGCATCACTTAGACTCTCCCTTCATTCAGCCTCCTGTGAGTTCATTACAGCATCCTGGACTGAAGAGTTTGTGCAATACAGCAATTTGTGGGTCACGGGTCTTGAGACTGAGAAGAGATCCAGGTGACAGCAGTTTGGGTGTCAGGACTTTGTAAGGGCCTGAGGAGGCTTGTTTTCTGTAGTCTCTGCAGGCTGAAGCAATAATGCAGTGTGTGTGTGTGTGTGTGTGTGTGTGTGTGTGTGTGTGTTCAGAATAACGTGAGCAGAACCACCCAAATTGCATACAGAGGCTCAGACGTAGCTACTATACACAGCTCCAGAGACTGACCCAGCCATGAAGAAAGGCAGAGGTAGCATTGCACAAAGCAAGATTTCACTCCGAGTTTTGGCTCTGAGCGCTGCCTGGTGCCTCCGGGCTTCAAGGCTGGCACGGCGTCAGCCTTCACTGCCATCCACGTCTATGCTTCTCCCTTGAGGGAATCCATCTTCCCACTTCTGATTCTCTTCCCGGTTGCTGATAACAAAACCCATCTTACTCTGGGCCTTGGAGAGCAGGTTCTCCGGGAGGTTGGGAAACAATTCTACCATCCTGGGATCCCGAGAGTAAACGCTTTCCTGGGAGGAACTGCAATACAAGTGTGGCTGGCTCTGCCACAGAGATTGCAGCTGCCCCATTCCACCTCGGAGCGCCTTCCTCCGGGGGCCTGTCTTCTTCCCTTCTTCATCCCCGCGTTGTCTGCATTCAGCCACCAAATGCTGCCCATGCTGAGGGCGGTGGAGACCAGGGGCAGGATAAAGGCGCCCTCCCCACTTCTCTCCACACCACTAAGCCCTCTGAGGACTCCCTGGCTATCTGATCTACCCCGTGGCCTTCTTGCTGCCTTGAGGTGGTGAGTTAAGCATGTGCCCAGGCTGTTGGGTTTTTGTGCCCCACTTTGTTAGAACAATGGCTAATAATAGAATTAACCATGCTTCAAATACTACCTACAGCACTTGGAACTTTCAAAGGATCAGGATCAAATTTGCTATTCATTGTTTAATGAGTCTTAATAAACTATTAGATGAGTTAAACAAATTGAACCACCAAGGCTTGTAGGTTTGAGTATTCCCCTCAAGCCCACAGGCCCAACGTGGAGCAAGCAACCTAATAGAAATGCAAACATAAAATAGGTCAGATTTCTTGCCTTAAATGATTATGTAAACAATTATTATGAAACTGTTGAAGAGGTAAGTTAGTATTCTCTGGATGATACTTTTGTCCTTGGGAGAGTTTCAATATTATGAAAATTGCTAGGCTTACTAGAAACCTTTCCAAAAGTGAATTCCAGAAAGCACACACAGTCACTGAGAGAATGAAAGGAGTCAGGCTGGAACCGTTGGTCAAGCCCAGCAGCGCCACAAGCATCCCTGGCCATTTCCTTCCCACTGGCTAAACAACAGCGTATAACCAGCTGGTAGCGGATCTCTGTGAGTTCAAGGACAGCCTGGTCTACAAAATGAGTTCCAGGACAGCCAGGACTGCTACACAGAGAAACCCTGTCTCAAAAAACCAAAAAACAAAAAAACAAAAAAAAAAAAAAAGCATGAATACAGAAGAGTATTAAAGTTAAAAGTTCTCATGAGGGGCTGGAGAGATGGCTCAGTGGTTAAGAGCATTGCCTGCTCTTCCAAAGGTCCTGAGTTCAATTCCTGGCAACCACATGGTGGCTCACAACCTGTAATGAGGTCTGGTGCCCCCCTCTTCTGGCCTGCACACACACACACACACACACACACACACACACACACACACACACACACAGAATATTGTATACATAATAAATAAATAAGTATTTAAAAAAAAGTTCTCATGAAAAAAATTACCTCAAATTTACTTTTTGCCGGGTGGTGGTGGCGCACACCTTTAATCCCAGCACTCGGGAGGCAGAGGCAGGCGGATCTCTGTGAGTTCGAGACCAGCCTGGTCTACGAGAGCTAGTTCCAGGACAGGCTCCAACGCTACAGAGAAACCCTGTCTCAAAAAAACAAAAACAAAATGTGGGAATGTGGAATATGAACTATTAATAGATATTAAGATGAAGATCATTTCATTTCCTTAGCAACAAAGATCACTAATTACTGGAACAAAGACCTTTAAGCATCCTTTATTGGTTCTAAGTCAGTGGTTCTCAACCTCCCCAGTGCTGACACCCTTTAATACAGTGACCCCATCACAAAATTATTTTCATTGCTACTTCATATCTGTAATTTTGCTGCCATTATGAATTGTAATGTAAATATCTGTGTTTCTGATGGTCTAGGGAAACCTCTGTGAAAGGGTCATGTGACCCCACGGGGTCCCAATCCACAGACTGAGAGCCACTGTTCTAAGTGACGGTGAGGTGATGTTTATGGTACAATGACGTGTCTGGTGCTGGCATCACAGAGCCAACGAGACACACTCGAAACGTGAGCTCAGCATCTCCCTTGGAATCCTGGAGGAGTGACAGTCATAGGCATTCAATCAGGGACAAAAGGGAAATACCAGGGAAATGAGAACCCCACGCACCACAGCTTGGCTTTAGGCTTGCAGCAAGACAAGACCAGGCTCGACTTAGATAAAAGCCCAGCTCCAGGAAGCACTGTAACGGACCTGGAACCTGGCGTGCACACGGCATTCATTTCAGTGACGGCTCAGCAGTATTTGAACATGGGGGGGACCTGGAGAGGGGTGGCCAAGGATCTCTGCCTCATCCATTCGTTCAGCCTGTCTTTCCTGCTGTCTACCATTTCAGACCCTTTGCTGGGGACAGAGGACAGACAGGGGTTAGACAGCTCTTACTTTCAGGGAATTCAGAATGTGACAGGAAAACGATATGATAGACAAGTTATTATGATTCCGGGTCAAAAAGGAGAAAGGGTTCCTCCACCCCTCCTAGCAGAGGTCTAGAGGACTCAGCAGATAGTATCACCTGGCAACCCATGGAAGGACCAACAGGAGGCTCAATGTGACTTCAGCTGTTCAGAGGGATAACATGGCCGGGATAGGGCCGGGTGGAGATCATTAACCCTTCAGCCTCAGCTCTGACCTCTGTGGGTTCTAGGGTTCACTGTGAAGCTTCGTGACATCCTCAGGCACTCTGAGGAGAGACTCATGACCAAGAGATGCAGGTCCTAATGCAGCACCAAACAGCATGAACCTGAGGTGACTATGAAGGAACATGGGCCAGGAACGTGGACGGGAGGCCTATTCTCTGGAACTCCAGTGGTGGGTTACTGTGTTGTACCGCTCCATTCTAGAGACCTCAGGGGCAGACCGGGATGCTACGAAGGCAAAAGATCAGAGCCTGTGTGGCCTCCTTTCTGATTTATTTCCTTTGGCAGTGTGACTACCCACCCTGTCTTTTCTACTTTGCCAACCTGAAGACAGCTGAAGTGGCTTCAGCAGTTGTTACCACAACATCTTCTGTTCCTGCTCTTCCAGTTGCCATCACCCACTCTGTCTCTCTTTAGTCTTCATCTCAGACTTCCTGAGTCCCTGGTCCTCTTTCCTTACGTTTTTCTGAGAAGATCACAATGGGCCTTTTCCCAGTTAAAGGATTTACAGCTAGTCACTAAGTAGATACAAACCCAAAGCAAGGGGTCAGGAAGGGTAACGAGAGAAGCGGCATTCACATGGGCAGTCAACCAAGCCCCTTCCTTGACTCCCTTCTTGGACATTTCCACATAAATCCCAAAGCTGTTTTCCCACATAAATCCCAAAGCTGTTTTTCATCCTTTAGCCCTAGCCACGGAATTCAGCCACTGCGTCTACCCTAATGCAGTACAGTGAGAACAAAGCTGGGCTCTACAGTGAGGTCCTACCTCTCAGGGGGGGCTCTTCTCTTCCCACCCTCCTCCTTTCACCAACTGCCAGGGCTGTCACCTACCCCAGTCACCCTTAGACCCTGGCTGCTCTTCCTTCCCACCTGGAGGGTGGGCTTCCCTGTCAGTGGGCTTCACATAAGAGCGAAGGAAAGCCTGTATGCATTCGTTACTTTCAACCCGCAAGGTCTGCACACCAGGCTGCCCTGTAACCAAACAATGGAGAGCCAAAAGCTGTTTGAGCCAAGGAACACAAGAACTGTGTATGGGAGTTTTGTTTGCCTGTGTGTGTGTGTGTGTGTGTGTGTGTGTGTGTACCATGTGCATGAAGTGCCTGGAGAGGCCAGAGGGGATTAGAGCCTCTGCAACTGTAGTTATAGACAGTTGTGAGCTGCCATGTGGGTGCTGGGAATGGAACACGGGTCCTCTAGAACAGCAGCCAGTGCTCTTAACCATGGAGCCATCTTTCAGGCCCCTCAGATTCATCTTTAATGGCATCAAAAGCAATCAGCACCATTATCAAGGGCAGCTGGCAGGGGTTTCTCATTTCTCCCTGGGAAATGTTTCCTGGATGAGGAAGGGGGGGTGTTGAACATAGCAGCAATGCCGGGGAAAGCAGCCGACTTCATGGTTCTGCTCTCTCAGTTCTTCCAGGATAGAGAACTTGAAGAGCTAGGGTATGATTAGGAGGATAAGGGCGTTCTAAAAATAGAACGATGCACATCTTCTGGTCAAAGCACCTATGGTCACTTCATATTCAAGTGAGCAGTGAGCCATTTGAGAAGATAAGTCTCTGGCTTCCATTCACGATCAGACTCCAGGGTTTGTGGGACAAGAAGCAGCACTCGGTCTCTCCTTTCAATGGGAGGACAAGAAGCCACAGGCCAACCTTCTCATTTTACAATGGAGACCTGATGTCCAGAGAGTTCGGGGGATACATCATCCACAGTCCTAAAGCAAGCCAGCAGCAGAACCCAAACCACATCGTGGTCTCCAAACTCCCAGTTCCATAGTCTTATTGCTGTGTACGGTAAGGCACGATTTTCTCTAGGCTCATTGGAAAGGGAAAAGTGAAAAAAAAATGGAAACAGCAAAATATTAGTTTTTTAATTTTCTGTAGACATCAGAGACCTCTGTTATCCTGGCTGTAGCTGCCATTGCCTTCTGTGGAAAGTTGGCTCCTCCCCCATCAGTCTAGATTTGGCTTTAGCTCCTACTAGGGCTGTTACAGTCTTCACAGCTCAGGACCTCCTGATCTGAAAACAGACGGAAGGCAATCTGCTCACACTCATGCTTCTGCCCACACTCAAACAAACATGCAAATAAGCCCTGTTTTTCCACAACAGCCAGATCAGAGTAGCCACAGGGCCCACGGTGCAAGATCCAGGGGCGGGACCAGCTGGTTCCCTCCAAGGGGTTCCGATTGTAGTAGACGCCCAGGTTAATTCTCCGCTTCTTGCTAGTTGGATGTGAGTACAAGAGCCACGTTCTTGATGGGGTTCCAGCTCCTTCCTCCCGCTCCAGAAAACTGTCCAGCAGAGGGCGCTTCTGAGTATCGGGTGCATCTTTACCACTTGGGTCTTGCAAGTGCAGCATCTTCAAGGGCTGGAAACTCACTACACTGCCTTGGCAGCCACAGCAGGGCTCATAGAGTTGTGGGTTCAGGGTTGCTTTCTGAAAGCAGTCACCGTAATCAGTGCTAAAGGATTCTGCTCGGAATCCGTTTGGCGTCCGGGCATTGCAGTAAAGCACAAAGTTACCAGTTCTCCCAACCACTTCCGCCACTTGGCACTCCGCTGTCACCTGGGGCCCAATGAGCTTGCCATGGTGCCAGGTGACTCCTGAGTCATCACTGTAGAACATCAGGGAATGGGCTTTGACCGAACACGGAAAGCAGAAGAACCGGCGTGAGAAATAGTAGGCATAAGCAGGGATGATCAGCCTTCCTGACTGCAGCTGGATGCCGTGACCAGGGCCCACCGCGAACGTGGCCCAGTGCTTCACCTCTGAGCCAATGACCTCCTCGGTCAAGTCCTTCACTTCACCCCACGAGCACCCAGCGTCCTGACTGCAAATGAAGCAGAGACGGGCAGCATTCCTGCCTGACCTAATCTGCTGAAGCTCAGTGACATGGTCCCGCACACAGATGAAAAACAGGTACACGCGGCCGGTATTCTGCTCCCACACAGGGCAGGGGTTCATGGTCCGATGCCCAGGTAATGTGGCTTCCATCAGTGGCTGCAGGGGTCCCCACTAGTCAAGGGGAAGAAGGAGATAGTGGGGATGAGTTACTAATAGGAAGACACAAGGCTCATTAAAAGCACCAGTTCTTTTTGCAAGCAATATATGACATTGAAATGGACAGGATCTTGAATGCCCAAATAATCTCAAAATTTGCAGCTATTACAAGGTGGAGTTACATCTGAAAAAAGATGATGTTAGATATTGTAAAAAGCTGTGCTCTCTCAAGAATGTTCTTCTTTGCTGCATCTGGACTTTCAAATCAATCTCCAATACCCAACTCCAATGTCACCTCCTTTGGGGGCTTCCTTGAAACTCACTCTTCTAAGAAGTTACAGCAGCTATATGACAGTATGCATATTGTTGGTAACTGTCTCCCCTTTTAGACAATGGGTCTTTTGGATAATACCCAAATTATATGCATTTGTACCTCCAACACCAGCCAAAAAAGTTTACCAGGGCGGGTTGGGGATGGTCCATGAGACTTCTCAGAGTGAAGGTGCTTGATCTCTGCCTGTCCTAGAGCAAATGAGACACCTAGAACTCTGGGCTCCGTCAGCCTCAGGGCTGGGCCTCTGTGGAGTCTGACCTGGTAAGCCACAGAGAAGCTCTAATGACGTACTGTACAAACAGGAGCTGGAAAGCCCTCACAGTACAAACTCCTCAGAAGGAAACGGGCAGCGATGTCACACATAGCCAGGACGGGGGCTCAGCAGAGTCTCATCTTCACCGTGACAGAGAAGACACCCACTTAGTGTGCCGCTCAGGCTGTGAGAAGTAGAAGCGCGGGCAGACTAGGAGATGAAGCTCTAATGGTGCCCCCTTCCCTGGGTGGGTCTATCAGGGCACAGAAACAAAAGGCAGGCCATGCAGGGTCTGGATGCACCAGAGGCCTCGGGAGCTTGCGCCTGAGTTTGAAGTATGTTTCTACTGCTGGGTTAACAGGTGCATGACTTAGAGTAAATGGCAAACTCTGAGCCCAGTTCCCCCATGTGCTAAACATGCCTGACAACAGTGCCCAGGATAAAATTCAGTGGATCCTGGCACAAAATAGCTCAGTAAAAGTCATTGTTTTTATTATTTTCCCCTCAGTTCCCCACACAGGTTTTTGTTGGCAAAGGTGGGGTGGGGGTGGGGGGGGAACAGAGCTAGAAGTGCATTCAGCTCTGAGGAGAGATGAGTCCCAGGTCCTTATCCAAGAGGAGTCACTCACCTGTACAGAGTGGCCATCCATCACCCCTCGCCTGAGCACCAGGTAGAGGGCATCCACGTCTTTGCTTGTGGACCGCTTCTCTGCGAAGGCCAGGAAGGTGTGGCTGGGAGGGATGTAGAGCAGGGCTGGGATCCGGTAGGTGATCCCGTGCTGGTCTTCCTGCTGGAACAGAGTGGAGCTGATGGAGCGGGACGGCATGCCTTCCATGACTTCTGCGAGGACAGCAAAGAGTCCAAAGCTGAGGACACAGCGAGCTGTGGATGTGCTCAAACGTCCACTTTCTCATACAAAGACAGCATCATGGCCTCAGCAGCCAAAGCAAACAAGACACACCTTCATTCAATACATCAGCTCTCCAGACACGTTGATTTCTCGGCCTGGGGTTCTAGATGACTATAAACCAAACCCATCTGAGTAAGATCACGGTTAACAATTCTCAAGGCAAGTTCTCTCCCTCTCCTGAAAGCCAGGAGAAAGGACAACCTTCTGACTCATCTGCATGAGTGATGTGGGAATGATTTCTTACTAATAAAGAAACTGCCTTGGCCCATTTTATTGGATAGAAAATTAGGTAGGCGGAGTATACAGAAGAAAATTCTGGGAAAAAGAAGGTTAGAGGAAGAGTCGCCATGATGCTCCCACTCCAGACAGACGCAGGTTAAGATCCTCTCTGGTAAGCCAGCTCGTGGGCTACACAGAATATTAGAAATGGGTTAGAACAATATGTAAGAGCTAGCCAATAAGAAACTGGAACTAGCCGGGCCAGGCAGTGTTTGAAAGAATACAGTTTCCGTGTAATTATTTCTGGGCATAAGCTAGCCATGCGGGCGGCCGGGTGCCGGGGACGCAGCCCTGCCGCTCCTATTTCAACAGATGGCGCCCAGACGTGATGGGCTAAATCCACTTAAAAACCTGAGAAGGCTTAAAAATAAGGGAGAGAGAGTTTAACACAGATTTTTGCTGTTTTGTTGGTGGCGTGCTGTAGAGAGATTCCTGATTCAGCAACAGCAGCAGAGAAAAAAAGCTGCGTCATTTTAAAGCGCGGCTTCCTGGTGCTGTGCTGCCAGCGTGAACTCTGGCTTTAAAGCATTTCAAGGCTTTTATGGGACTGGATGTTTGTGTTCCCGCTTGGGATCGGAGGAGAGTGCTCTGAGACCGTGCAGATGGCTCAGCGCTCCCCGCCTGCACCTGGGCAGAAGGCAGAATCAGGCTTAGGCAGGCGGAAGAGCATGGCGGATTCCTGCCGCCATACAGAGACGCGTTTTCAGACTGCGCAGTGCTCTGCGTGTCAGATTTGGCTGTAACTTGGATGAAAAGAGTTTCTGTGCTGCACACTCAGTCTCAGAATTAAACTGCTGATTGCGGCTCCAATGTGAACTGCTGTGTGCCTGGAACTGTGCTCAGCTCAGAAGCACCAAATGACTCTGAGGCAGGAGCGGCTGCTCCATGCTGAACTGTGCTGATCTCAGGCAGGAACTACCGTAATTACCTTAAAACCGTGCAGTTAAGGTTTAGACTGGGCAGGACACAGGCAGTACCGTATTACCTGTACATGGTGCAACTTAAGTTTTTAAGAAATGCTTAACATTTTAAGAAATGCTCCTGGATAGTAAAAAAATTACAGATTCACAATAAAACAGATTCAGACACTGTTGGATAAATGTACGTAGGCTTGGGAAAGAGAAGAAAAAGAATATAAAGAATAAAGTTAATGTCTTAAAAAGAAAAAGGGTAAAGTCTTTAAAGAGACAGAGTACAGAAGTACAGATAGTTATAGATTAAGAGAAATAAAGAAAAATAAGCCACGTAAAAATGGAAAATTCACAGAGAGTCTGGATTATGTACATTGTGTTTTCTTTAAAATTTTTGACTGTGAAGGAGCTAAGTACAGAGAGACATTTCATTATATGGGCTGCCAAGCTAAACCAAAATGGATTTCATGAGGGTATTATGATTTCAGAATTTGGGTCTAAGGATATGATGCTTTGGAGAGGGTCTTCTTTTGTTTTTGCAGAGGATGAGACCCTGTGGATTGCATCTATTCCGATTTGGTATGATAGACCACGCCCTCCTGAAAGGTTGCTGTGAACACCCTCAAAAAATTGCTTCGCTCAATTGCCAACTGAGATGAAACTAGCATACAGGTTATATCATGAACAACCTAATTAACGACGCCCCTATTCAGCAGGAAGCAGTTTGTAGAGAAAAAACTACGCCCATGTTCCCAAATATTGTTTATAAATGTTCTTTTACATTTAAAGGGGGATATGATATAGATATGAATAATTTGCATTGGTATGGATTTTATGGTCAATTTTGTTATATGTATATGTATTTTTGATCTTGATTAAGGTATTGTGATTGTGTAGTTCATTTAAAAATGTAATGTATAATTAGGAAATATAGGTTGTTAATGGATAATCATCGCTAATACTTAAGCTTGTAGTCATGTTAGTTAGATTTTCTAGATATATAGAGAGATATTTTAGTTAGATAGGCATTCTTCATATCTTTCAAAGGCTGCAGAATATGGCATTTAAGATATTTTAATAACTTAGGGTTTTTCATGACAATGAGACACATTTGCTCCTGGCAGCACCAATCTATTTCAAGAGGAAGATGGGCATCGAAGAGAATCCTTATGGAGTTTGATAGCCATTTGGGCAAGAAACTGCTCTTGCCTGGACTGTTGCATAAACTGGACACAGAGAACCCGCAGAGAGAGGACTGCTGAACTTGCCTAAAGGTGAGATGACCTTTTGGGGTTCCTGCTTCATGAAAGAGTCTGTGAGACATTCTGCAGGACACAGCAAAAAGTGACTGAACTGTCTTTGGAATTTCTTGCTTGATGAGAATGTCTGCTGGATACTATGGGCCTGTAGGCCGAAGATGGATGCCCCAACGGTACAGAGGAACTTTGGGTGACTGTCCAGGCAGCGAGATGTCTCTGTCATTTCTAGAGTTTTCTTATTTCTTGTTTGATAGGTAATATTATATCCTTCTGGAGTCTTTGATGGAGTTGAAGAATGGTTAGTTATAGTTTTCCTTAGTTATGATAAGAGATAAAATAGATATAAATATTGTAACTGTAATTCTTACTTGATAACTGTTTTGTTATATGTAATTTTACTATGTTAAAGTTAAAGCCTTTCTTTTTTGTTTAAACAGAAAAAGGGGAAATGATGTGGGAGTGATTTCTTATTAATAAAGAAACTGCCTTGGCCCATTTTATTGGATAGAAAATTAGGTAGGCGGAGTAGACAGAGGAGAATGCTGGGAAAAAGAAGCTGTGTGAGGAGTCGCCATGGTTCTCCCGCTCCAGACAGACGCAGGTTAAGATCCTCCCTGGTAAGCCAGCTCGTGGGCTACACAGAATATTAGAAATGGGTTAGAACAATATGTAAGAGCTAGCCAATAAGAAACTGGACCTAGCCAGGCCAGGCAGTGTTTGAAAGAATACGGTTTCCGTGTAATTATTTCGGGCATAACCTAGCCATGCGGGCGGCGGGGTGCTGGGGACGCAGCCCTGCCGCTCCTATTTCAACACATGAGGAGGTCTTACCCATAGTTTACTCTGTGAGGGGAGCACACAGCAGAGGGTGTAGATTCTCAAAGGATGCCTCTTGGTGTTGTGAGCTCACTTCCAGGTGCTGTAGCCCGGGTGGACCTGCAGCTTTGGCAGCTGGGACAAGTGTCTTAAAAACCACACTTTTATGTGTGACCAGCTAACTGGAGCTCAAGAGATAACTATTGTGGCTTTGGGTTCGCTCTTATTTCCAGCCCTCTGGAGATTACGTTCTTGCAAACTCAGCTACATGGGTCTTTGCGATATTCTATCTGCCATGTGCCAGGCTAGCAGGTCTGTGATAACAGGAAGTGGAAACCTCCAGAAACTCTTGGAAAGTGCCCAGAAGTCCCACTTCTCAGAGGCCACAGAAGGGACTCAGGCCAAACAGACTAAAATAGGTTTAGGATTTAATTTTCTTTCAAATTATGTCACTCAAAGCCCATTTTGGAAATAATTTGCATAAATAAAAATAAATAATAAACAGCAACCCATAAGAGTTAGGCCAATGAGGACCTCTTTATTTATTCAACATTTCTGAGTGCCTACGTATAGCAGTGTTGAGGAGCCACCTGCTCTTAAGCTGAGAACTGAGGGTGGGAAGACCATGTGCACACAGATGAACCCTGAAAGGTAAGTGCTATCTTAGAGGTAACACAGCAGCAAGTAGGAAAAGAGAAAAGGCGCACCTGTGCAGACTGAGGCCCCAGAAAAGGTAATAACTGGTCATACTAGCTAGCTACCTCCTCTGCCTGGGACACTCTTTCTCAGAGAGCCACACGACTCCCTACCTCACCTCCCCCAGCTCTGTGCAGACACCTTCCAGCGGGTGAGCTGTCACCTGACAGCGCCCTTGCCGCCTGGGCTCCCTGCTTGTTTCTCCACAGGACCCAGTGCTCTCTGAGGGCTCATGGATTACACATATACAAAGAACACTACAAAATCAGAGGGCCATCGTGTCAGGTCCCAGTGTGTAGGGGGGCAGTCTGTGCTCAGCTCAGGCTGGACTCTGACCCGGGAAACACCCAGCATTCCTCCGAAACCTTGTAAAGTGGGTTTCTGCTTGCCAGTAAAAACCATTACTTTCTTATCTTCTCCCACAGCCCCACAATCTCCTGAAAGGGCACCTAGTTGTCTATTAACTCAAACAAGCCTCCAGCAGATCAGAGGCCCCATAGTAGTTCCCGGCTGTTCCAGCCAACTTGCGCTCCTCCTGCCACAGCATAATTACTTATAACTGGCAAGGCTTTGCCACCATTTTTGCTATCTTCTCTGCTCCCTTAGCCCTGGAAATTGCCAGCCTTCCTCTTCTCTTTGCTCCTCTCTCTGTCCCTGAAAGTTAGTCATGGCTAGATTCCCCTAGATGTCTCTGACTCTTCTCTCTCTTACCTACAATAAAAACCTTCTCCCTAACCATGAAGTGGCCATCCCAGCGGTTTCTTCGCTGTACCCCTTGTTTACACATAGGGCTGTATCTTCTCATCTGGAGACAAGCATGGTTTGTGATCAGCACCGGACAAGCGTTTGCTGGATGCATGAATGCATGGATAAATGAACTGGAATATAAAGAGTGTAGACAGGGCTAGCCAAGTGGTGGGGTAAGAAGCAGAGTGGGGGAGGCAAAGCCTGTAGGTAACAGGAAACAGCTGTGCAGGCTTTCAGTAGAATGGCGTGACTGTCATAGGCTGGAGAGCAAACCTATGAGCAAAGATGGGACTGAAAGGCCCAGCGGAGGCAAATCCCGGCAGGTTTTATCACCTTATCGTGGTATTGCTCCTACCGGGATCCACTGTAGAGTTTCTGGTGGGAATGGCATGGTGAGTTTAGACCAGCTTCTCAGGCAGCTTTCTGGGTAATGAGCTGCGGGGTAATGTTGTACTGTGTCAGGTCATCTACCACCTTCGAGCCAAACAAGAGAAACTCCCAACACCTCTGAATGACTCAGTCAGTCACTAAATTGAGAGAACTGGAACTCACTATTGTGAGAAAAGAGGAGAGAGTGGCCTTGGAGTCAGAAGAAAAGCTGTTCTTCCTTCCAGACTCGGGGCCGCAGCAGTATAAGCAGAAGACTATGTGGACCATCTTGTCTGCATGGTGTGAGAGCATGCGTGTGCTCCCCATCCGGGCTCTCTCCTTCTGTGCACCAATGGGCTTTATTCTACGTCTTTCTCTATCCCGAGTCACACTGCTGGCAAAGCTTAGGTTTGGCTTAGACCACCACAGGTTCTCAGACATATATTTCACTTATCTATTGCTCTGGGATCCTCATCTATAAAAATGAATTAAATTCTACATAAGAAGAATTAAAAATCCTTAAGTAGCCGTCACAAGGCCTATTGCACAATAGGATCACAATATATGGCAGTCACTATATCACATTTTTCAGTTATAAGTCATTACATAGTTTAAAAAATGAAACAATGTCTCACTGTAAAGCCCAGATTGGCCTTGAATCTGCTATCATTGAGCCTCAGCCTCCTGAGTGTTAGGATTTACAGGTGTGTGCCACCGTGGCAAACAGGGTGTATTATTCCCGAGTCCTGAAACTGATATCTGACTGTAATCAGGCACTATATAAAAATGTAATAATAGACTGTATATGTGGGGGGTGGTTCCTGTAACTATTGCAGCTCGATGAAAAGTTAAGTCAGGCAGTCAGGAACCAAGAAAGTCACTAAACCACAAAGTTACTATAAGCATAGGAGCCTACAGCCCTGCTACAGTGAAAGGTTTCCCCAGCGCAAGTGTAACAACTCTGCAACTGCAAGGGAGGGTTTCCCCAGTGAAGCTGTTACAGTTCTGCTTAGAACTCCAGAGTGTAACAACTCTGCTCTGCACCAGGGGACCGCTTCCCCGCAAGTGTTACAGTAGCAAGTGTTACACAGTGCTGCTCTGCTCTGGTGAAAGTCGTTACAGCTGGGCTCCAGCAAAAGTGTCTCACGACAAACCTCACCCAAGAGATTTATTGGAAAGGAAGCTTTCAGGAGGGTGGCTATCTCTGGTGAGAAACAGCAGCAAACTGAACAGGGCACAGACTTTATGTAGGTTTTGGGGGGTGAGGGTGGGAGGGTGGAGCTTTCAAGGGTGGCTAGGGATTGGTGGATTTTTGGGGTCTGATTCTGGGGCAGTCTCAGGGATTGGTGGCATTTCTATCTCAGGGATTGGTGGGATTCCTCAGCCTGACTCCAGGGCAAGCTCAAGGATTAGTGTGAGTTCTGGGGTCAAATCAGGTGTTTTTCCTTGGCCCAAGTCTCAGGTCTAGTCAGGTGCAAGGTGTTTTTCTTTGATCCTTTCACCCCACAAATCCCACAAGCTTATAAGTGTTGAAAAATCCCTATTGCCTAGAGACATCTTAGTCACTCACCGCTCTGGCACCACTACCTCACATCTGTGGTGATGCCAGTCATATAAAAACATAACACAATTGGGCACAGTTCATAAAACTTGAAACGACAATAAGCTACTTTGCTGGTTTGAACATTCATTATATTACACCTTCTGCCATTATTAGAGCACATACCTGATTACCTAACTTCCACTGTGAAACAGCACGCTAAGTCAGCAGGCAGCATATTCCAGATAGGCCCAGCCGTGCCGTAGTCTACACTGTACAGATGTGCATAGACACCGATGATATTCTCACGACAATAAAATCACGTTAACAGTGGTGTTCCCAGTACAAAGGCGCATCTTTAAGAACTGCATTACTCTATCAATTGCAACGCCTCCTCTTAGAGCCTCGGCTGGTCTTGAACTTGTGATTGTCATGCCCCAGGCTCAAGAATAAGACACGTGAGATCCTAGAGAAGCTAAATAAAAAGGTGAACCCAAAGAAAAACATACATTTATCCTCCTGGATATTGGAAGTAGACAAGATCGCCGGGCAAAAGTTGGGAGCACGGGGGTGGGGGAGGGGGTTGGGAGGAAGGGGAGATGGGGAGAGAGAAGGGAGAAGGGGAGGATTGGGGAGAGCTTGGGGGAATGGGATGGTTGAGATGGAGGAAGGGTCGATATGGGAGCAGGGAAGAAGATATCTTAACTAAGGGAGCCATTTTACAGTTGGCAAGAGACTTGACTCTAGAGCGGTTCCCAGGTGTCTAAGGGGATTTCCTCAGCTAGGTCCTTGGACAGCTGAGGAGAGAGTGCCTGAACTGGCCTTCTCCCATAGCCACACTGATGAATATCTTGCACATCATCATAGAACCTTCATCTGGCGATGGATGGAGATAGAGACAGAGACCCACACTGGAGCACTGGACTGAGCTCCCAAGGCCCAGATGAAGAGCAGAAGGAGGGAGAATATGAGCAAGGAAGTCAGGACCGCAAGGTGGGTGTGTGTCCACCCACGGAGACGGTGTGACTGATCTAATGGGAGCTCACCAAGGCCAGCTGGACTGGGACTGAACAAGCATGTGATCAAACCGGACTCTCTGAATGTGGCTGACAATGAGGGCGGACTGAGAAGCCAATGATAATGATTCTACTGCATGCACTGGCTTTTTGGGAGCCTAGTCTGCTTGGATGCACTCCTTCCTAGACCTGGATAGAGGGGGGAGGGTCTTGGACTTCCCACAGGGCAGGGCATCCTGACTTCTCTTAGGACTGGAGAGGGAGGGCGAGTGGAAGGGAAATGGGGGGATGGGAGGAGGCAGAAATTTTTAATAATAAAATAAAAGTAAGGCACGTGACTGGCTCTCATTTGTTAAAGGTGAATAGTGCATACTTATGAGGGGCACTCGGGAGTGTTTTGTACACTTTAAGGTACTATACAAATAGATGTCTTTAATTATGAATGTTGACCTTTTCAGAATTCACTCTTGGTTCTGCCGTCACCACAATTAAGTAGTCATTAATTTTCATTCATTATCAGTATGCTAATAATATTGATGACAGCGGTAACTTAGTGGCCTGGCATTGACACCTAAACGGTTCTCCTAAACTGTGTGCTGAGAAGAATCACATACAGGTCTGCTTTGGAATTGTTTGCTTTAGCAGAGAATTCTAAGTATTAATTGCAGTTCTATACTCTCGCTGTCCAACACAGTCTTCTCCGCTCTCTCTCAGAGAGAGAGAGAGAGAGAGAGAGAGAGAGAGAGAGAGAGAGAGAGAGAGAGAGAGAGAGAAGACAGTGTAGCACGACTTCTGAAACCTTGACTGAGGAGAAAAACTTTGGTGAGGCCACTTTGTTTGCAAACCTAGTCTCAAAATTCCCACGCCAGGGCCTTTATGCCCGACCACAACTTCCTCTGTCCTAAGAAGCCTTTTCCTAGGCTCGGTTCCCGCTTCGTTTCCACGATTCTAAACTACTGCTTAAGTTTGGCTGCGGATGGAAGATAACAAAAATAGAACGGCCCAGAACGGCTGTGAGGTCCCAGCTGATTCAGGCTGACGCAGGTCCCCACAGTCCCGGGCCACATTCGGGATGACCCTCACCCCAGCTCACCGGCTCCAGCGTCTCTCGGGGCTCTCAGTGGAGTCTCGGAAGGGGGCCTGCAGCAGGGCTGGGGCGATGGAGGCAGGGAAGCGGCGGACGGAGACCACGGAGGCGGAGCTGGCAGGAAAGAGAAAGAGAGAGACCGCGCGGGGGTGAAGCTACTAGCGACGCGCACGGCAATGGTCCTGCAGCGGCCGGGTGTCAATCTCCTCGGCCGGGCCACGCCCCTCACCTCACAGGGCCCGCCCTGCTTGCTTCTCAACGCTCTCGTCTGTCCGTTTGTTTGTGGGAGGTATCACCGCCTAAAACTTCCCTGGACAGTCTAATTGTCGAGCGAAGGTTCCGGGCCTCAGAGGGGACCAAAAAAAAAAAAAAAAAAAAAGACAGAGGTGGAAGGATGTGTGCACCCAAAGCACTGGGCACTTGCCTTGCAAAAAGTACCCATTTATCAGGACCTGGTGCACAGGGCTTGTAAACTCAGCTAGTCTGATAGGGAGGAAAGCTGGAGGACTGGACATTTCTGCTGTTTGGACTACAAAACGAGTTTAAGGCCACCCTGAACAATTTATCAAGAAGTCCCTAACACACGATAAAAAAGTATTTACAGAGTTGTAACCAGCTAACGGTGGGGCACTTGCCTAGCACACACATCATCCTAGGTTCACGTTCCAGTTCTGTAGACAATTTATTGTGTATTGCCTACACACGTTTACATACAGTCATGTCCAAGGACCGTCCCATTCTTCCCCCCCTCCCCACTGCAGCCTCTAAGAGGGACAGTCAGGCATGGGGACAAAGAGAGCTACAGACGGATGACCCAGCCTGGTCAATAAGGTTACCAGAAACAGAAGACCCGAAGGAAAATGAAAAGAAACAAAAACAAGATGTAGAATACACTGGCATCAAAATCCAGACAACGGTTACTTATACATATAGGACATTTAGCGTAGTGGTATCGTCCTGTGGTGAGGGACGCAGGTTTGGCTTATAATTCTCAATAAGACGTACCATAGAAACTTATACCTTATAAGTCCCCAAATGTGGATTAACTAGTAAGGCATGAAGCTTCACAACAGGGCAGACTCGCAGGGACCTGAACACCACCTCTGCCTGTGATGACACCAAGGGTCAGGGTCCTGCCTACCAAGAAACATAGTGTCTGTTCCTTTTATTTCATTTGGTCATCTGAGGATTCTCTCTCCCACATCCATGTCCCCTATTATGGTGTTTCTTTCTTTGACATGAACTTGTTCGATTCTTCTGAGTAAAAGTCACATGGTGAGAAACAGTCTAAAATCATTTTTGTTGGAACCAAGTAAAACAAAAGAATTTGGCAAAATCAAAAGGGAAAGTGGAATTCTAACTTGGAGGATGAAAAAACAATGAACTTATATTGAATTTGAATCCACGAGGCAGAGGAAATGCAGTAAGTATAGAATTGGGGGTGGGTGCCGTGAGTTAAGAGTTCTAAGGGATTGGCTTTCCTAAGAACACAAAATTACAACATGACGCAGTTTTTCTTCTTTCTTTTTTAAAGGAAAACTATAATGAGATGCTCACCTAACCACACCAAGCTAAAATAAAGCTGTTTACTCCTAAAAGAACCAGTACCTCACAGAAAAACGGCTGATTGCAGGGCTGGGAAGAGGAGGTACAGCAATAATCATATCCTACCTTGTCTAGACTTCCCTGAAAACAGGGCAGCCAGAGGGCCAGGGGCTCAGCAGAAGAGCTGACTTAACAAGGATCCTACAGGGGATGATAACAACCAGGCGGACACCTGCCACAGCACTGCAGAAGCTGAGGGAAGGGGATCTCTGCGTGTTCTAAACCAGCTCAGTTTAAACACGAGTTCCAGAGTACTCAGAGCTAAATACTGACACCCTGTGTCAAAGGGAGAAAAAGAATAACAACTTACAAGGAGTAGACTAAATGTTTACAATTCTGAGATCATGGTACAGGAGAGATGGCCTAGTGACTGAGAGGACTCAGGTCCAGGACCCAGCAGCACCCACATGATGGTTCACAACCATCCTTAGCTCTAGTTCCATAGGATTCAACACCCTCTTTGGACCTCTGAGAGCATGAGGCACGCACACGGTACACATACATACATGCTGGCAAAACATTTATACACATTAAATAAAGAAAAGCCTTTAAAATATTATGAGGCTGTATTGACATATGGAGAAAAAGCCTGCTCACTTCAAGAGGTTGCTACGGTGAGAATCAAGCTAGAATACAAGTAAAAAGTAGACTAAAACCTTTCCTACCTATACAAATCCTATTCCAAGGTGGCTGAATAGTCTTCTTTATAGTAACATAAAGGAATGATATACTTTTCTAATTCTGCAATAACTCAGTGGCTCCCAGAACCATATGGTGATCAGTGTAAAAATTTTGTGTTAGATGCATCAAGCCAAAAACATTTGAGCCCACTGTGTAGCACAGCAGACAGAGGAAACCAGGTGATTATGTGGCTCCTATATAAAGACTTACTGCTAAACAACCATCCTGAGTGCTGGAGGTGTAGTTCAGTGGTAGAGTGCTCGCCTAGCCCTGGTTCAGTCTCCAGCCACCCACCAGCACATGCACACACAAAGGGGGAGTAGAAAATGTGTTCAATGATACCGTGACGTGATTAGGATGTGACCAGCCAAATTCACAAATGCAAAGTGTGTGGGGGCGGGGAGGAAGGCAGACAAAACAATACGTTCAAATGTTTTTATCAACTACAAGAAAACCTGCGAATCTCAGAACTGTGTTTGGATCCTAAATTGAAAGAATCGGTTCCATAAAGACTCTGAGGCAATTTTACCAGTGACCATTACGTGACATTCAGGATTTGCTTCTAGGAATAACAGAATTGTAGTTGTTTTCAATCACCTCGACAATAATCACCAAGCCCCCAGATCTTGTTTTCAGATAAACGCATCAGGTTCCTTGTAAAATAGTTGATCCCAGAGGTGGGGCTGGGAAAAACACAAGCTGAGCGGGGAACACCTTGTGATGTATACAGTACAAAGAGGTCACAGAGTAACTGAGGTCTCCTTCACAGGAGCTCCTCAGTGGCCTGAGCTAGAATCCACACGGTTAGAAGATATTGGTAGTGAGACCATAGCTCCTAGAACAGAATAAAACCAAGTCCATACTGACATGAACAGTTGTACAAACAAGCTAGACAAAGGAGATAGTGTTTCCTGGGGGCAGAATTCTAGTTAATAAACACTTTGGAGGAATGAATAAAAAAAAAATACCACCCTCTCCCCTTTAAATGTTGGCAGAGGGGTCCCTTTTGTCATAGCAAGATGTCATAGAAAACATAATTTTATTTCTAAAATGACTGAGAGCCACTTCCAAGGCTTCTCATTATCAGTTTAGAACTCTGCCAATGGATGAACCCTGTGGCCACAGCTGCGGTAACTGATACCAGGACTCAGTCAGCACCTCAGATGGTTCGGAGTTTCCCTCGCTGAAGAAACATCGTCTCTTGAAGCCAAGGCCTTCTCCCAAATTGGCCCATATCCAACGGCGAGCAAGCCAGTCTGAGGCAACTTATCTCCAAAGTAAATCAGCAGTCAGGGGCGGTTGCCCAAGCAGGGTCGCACCATATCTAAACTCCCTCTGCACCTTTTGTTTGACTGCCCTCCTTCCCTAAAACACTGAAACTCCACCCACAGCCTCTTCATGGGTAGAACCTAACCTGAAATACTGGAATGTTGACTGAGTTACTCATGAGTGGATTCCATTTTTTTCCTACGTATTATTTAAACATATCTTCATCATGTGTATTCATTATACATTAAATTGTCCTACATAAAGGTATTTTCATGCAACATGCACCACACGAGAACATCCCTGCTCCTACCACTTTCTCCTCTCCCTTTAGATTGTTCCTCCAGACAGCCTCACTTCTACCATCACGTCATAGATACAAGAGCTCATCCATACAGGGGAGAAAACCTTCTCTCACATCTGACTTAATGTGATTATCTCCAGTTATATCACCTTTCTGAAACAAGATATTCCATTCTTCTGTATAACTGAAAATATCCTCTAGGTGTAAAGACCACATCCGTTCCTCTGTTGTTGGACACTTGGGTTGGCTCTGTAACTAAGCTACTATTAGTACTGTATGTCTGTGATGTGTTAACTAGGAGTCCCTAGAGGTGACAGAACTACATCCCATAATAGGTCTTCAGGTTGAGGAACTTCCACAGTGACGTTCATAATGACCGAACCAGTTTCTCACATTCTCCAGCATTGCCTAATGGTTACCTTTGTCCCCATCCTCACCAACACTTACTTTTTTAAAAAATATTTTTTATTCTTTAAAAGAATTGATGTATATGTGTGTGTATGTATGCCGCAAGTGACCAAACCCACAGATACCAGAAGGCATCAGATCTCCTGGAGTTGGAGTTACAGGCAGTTGTACGTTGCCCACATGGGTGCTGAGAAACAAACTTGGGCCCTCTGGAATGGCCACTGAGCCATCTCTGCAGTCCATCTCCTCCTCCTCCTCCTCCTCCTCCTCCTCCTCCTCCTCCTCCTCCTCCTCCTCCTCCTCCTCCTCCTCCTCCTCCTCCTTTTAATGGCTGCTATTCTTGCTGGGGTCAGATGGAATTGCAAGGGATTTTCAATTTCAACTTCTTTGCGATCTAGAGAGAGTAAAAATGTTTTTGTATGTCTATTGGCTGTTTTAGATTCCATCTTCTGAGAACTACTCATTATACCTTTTTTTGATTGGTTGCTTGGTTAATTTCTTGTAGTTAGCTTTGTCAACATTACATAGCTTAGTCATTAAAGCCTCAATTGAGGAGTCACCTAGATCAAATTAACCTGTGGGTTTGTCTGTAGAGGACCCTGCACACTGTGGGGGGTATCATCACTAGACATGTGGTCCTGGGCTATATAAGGACTTAGCTAAGCATAAGACTGGGGGCCAGCCAGCAAGCGGCAC